AGCCTGAGGAACAGACAGTGAGTCTGTCTCTCAATAATAATAATACAGTGTGTGATCTCCTGTCAGTCTAGGGAAGAGACAGTGAGTCTGTCTTACCATAAGATTTTATGTGATTTACATAAATGTCCAATACCATGTTTGTATTATAAATGTCTGTAAATATTGTATATATTTTGGCAACACTGTAATTCATTGATCGTGTCAATAACGTTTGTTGAATTGGAATATTTAAACCCTTTTTTGATACATCAGGGATAACAGGTTACAGTAAGGGGATAAACCAAACTATTTTTATTTACACTCTTTTATCTTTGTCTTGTATTTCTTCTATCAATATATGTGGATGTTTTCTGAGAGAAGCAGACACTCAAGGCTGTGCAAATATTTGCATTTTGTGCTTTTCTGTGTTTTCATTGAGGTAATTCTGCTGGCTGTGGGGTACTGGGGTATCTTTGAGAAGAGAGTCACTCCAAGCCATCTCTCAGGTGCCCTGCCACACTGAACCTTTTACCACACTGTTCACAACAGTACGATGTGATCTGATGGTTTTCATTTACTGTAACATAGAAACTGAAAAAGTTCTCCACAACCATTAGGAATCAACCACGCATAATGATTTCCATTCTCACACGGTTTCTAAATATCAAATTTGTATTCAGTATAATAGTTGAACTCTCAGGAATTATAACGTGAATAAAGACATTTTATACTCAAAGATCCACTGGCCAACATTCTTGGTGAATTTAAAATTTCCCCAGTGAGAAGACGGAGCTGGACTGGTCTGTGGTCTCAGCAAAAAAGAGGCATCATGATAATTTATGTCAGGTAAATTGGAGAAGTGAGAAGCGAATGAGTTCGCCTATGACAACAAGTTGTGAATCAGTGTTTAAAGTACAACATCACAACTGGCGATGGGTGAGGATGTTAACAGGGACAATCCTGTTACCCTCTGTGCATATCCCTCATTGATGAATGTCATTGTAGGGGACGGATAGTGACCTCAGACCTGTAGTCATAACAGAAAGAGACTAGCAAGACACAATGGAGTTGAGCTGCACGATATATCATCAGAACACAAAGAATTTAGAGAGCTTCATGACAGTCTCGTCTGTGATACAGACCTGAAAGATTGTGATCAAACTCTTACACTGTTCTGCTTAGTCAAAGCAGATTATTAGAAAGATTGGAATAATCTTTCATAGCACTTAGTTTTAATTTAAATACTATACTTTCCCACTTCGAAGGTTTCTGTCCAGTATGAATTCCTTTATGACGTTTGAGGGCTGAAACTCTTCCCACACTATTGAAGAGCGTTATGATTTCTCTCCAGTGTGAACCCGTTCGTGACACTTCAGGTGTGCTACCTGGCTGAAGCTCTTCCCACACTGTTCACAGCAGTACGGTCTCTCTCCAGTGTGAACCCGTTCATGTCTCTTCAGATTGGCTGCGTTATGGAAACTCTTCCCACACTGATCACAGCAGTACCGTCTCTCGCCTGTATGAATCTCCTCATGATGCTTGAGGGCTTCTGAATACTTGAAGCTCTTCCCACACTGTTCACAGCAGAACGGCCTCTCTCCTGTGTGAATCCGCTCATGACTCTTGAGGGCTCCTGCCTGGTTGAAACTCTTCCCACACTGTTTACAGCAGTACGGTCTCTCTCCGGTGTGAATCCGTTCATGACACCTGAGAGCTGTTGCCACACTGAAACTCTTCCCACACTGCTCACAGCAGTACGGCCTCTCTCCTGTGTGAATCCGTTCGTGATGCTTGAGGGCCCCCGCCTGCTTGAAACTCTTCCCACACTGTTCACAGGAGTACGGTCTCTCTCCGGTGTGAATCCGTTCATGTATCTTGAGCTGTGCTGCAAAATTGAAACTCTTCCCACACTGTTTACAGCAGTACGGTCTCTCTCCCGTGTGAATCCGTTCATGACACCTGAGAGCTGTTGCTACACGGAAACTCTTCCCACACTGCTCACAGCAGTACGGTCTCTCTCCTGTGTGAATCCGCTCATGATGTTTGAGGGCTCCTGACTGCTTGAAACTTTTCCCACACTGTTGACAGCAATACGGTCTCTCTCCAGTGTGAATCCGCTCATGACTTTTAAGGGCTCCTGTCTGGTTGAAGGTTTTCCCACAGTGCTCACAGCAGTACGGTCTCTCTCCCTTGTGAATCTCATTAATTTTAAGCTGTGCTGCCAACTTGAAACTCTTTCCCAGCTGATCACAGCAGTACGGTCTCTCTCTTGTGTGAATCCGCTCATGACTCTTAAGGGCTCCTGCCTGATTGAAACTCTTCCCACACTGTTTGCAGCAGTACGGTCTCTCTCCTGTGTGAACTCGTTCATGACACTTGAGGGCTCCAGCGTCACTGAAACTCTTCCCACAGTGCTCACAGCAGTACGGTCTCTCTCCTGTATGAATCCGTTCGTGAGTCTTAAGGGCTCCTGCCTGCTTGAAACTCTTCCCACAGTGTTCACAGCAGTACGGTCTCTCTCCTGTGTGAATCCTTTCATGATGCTTGAGTGCACCTGAATATTTGAAACTCTTCCCACACTGTTCACAGCAGTATGGTCTCTCTCCTGTGTGAATCCGTTCATGAATCTTAAGGTCTTCCCTCCTAATGAAACTCTTCCCACACTGTTCACAGCAGTACGGTCTTTCTCCTGTGTGAATCCGTTTGTGACTTCTCAGAGTTCCTGAATGGTTGAAACTCTTCCCACACTGTTCACAGCAGTACGGTCTCTCTCCTGTGTGAATCTGCTCATGACGCTTAAGAGATCCTGCCCACCTGAAACTCTTCCCACACTGTTCACAGCAGTATCGTCTTCCTCCTGTGTGAATCTGTTCCTGATTGTTGACAGTTCCTGGACAGATGCTCAATTGTTCTTTGCGCTCTGTATTACTCTGGTCAGACTCCTGATGGGACTCAGTATCCGGTGCTGCAGTGCTGAGGGACTGGATCCTGGACAGATCTGCAGTGTAGCTGGAGTCCAGATCACTTTCACT